GATTCCCCATTATAGACTATAGGCAAAACATCAAAACACATCAAATCAGTGAAAGTTTCAATGAAATGAAACAGAACAGTGTTTTGAAATGAAACAAAACAATGAAATTAAACACTGTCCCTTCAGAACAGAAAAACAGAAGTCAAAATGAAATGGTTCTTTTTTGTACAGTCGTAATTTCTATCATACTGTATCATTCATTTATTCAGCTTGAAGCACATGTGATTTGACACTCCAACTGTTTTGACATTTTTCAGCTTTAAAAAAAAAATAATTTGAACAAACTCAAAGCTGAAATTAACATTTATATGCAATTCACATTTTTCCTAAAATTTCTAGGTGGATATTGCTTCAACTTTACTGGTCAGTGTTACAGACCATGATTTTGTTGTCGTATCTCTTGTTTTAATGGGTTTGTTTTGTAATAATGTTGCATGCGTCATTTTCCCTGATCAGCTTGTATGGGGATGGTGGGACCAGAGGACAGTTAAGAGACAGAAGCCAGAACTGCCTGGGTTACACATCCATCCATAACGAATTGAAAAATTATGTTGATTCTTTGGATGGACTCGATAACATCCTTTGAAAGTGACATCTGGGAAGGGTCAAAGGAAGAGATGGTTAAGCATCACAATGGATGCAGCAGCATGAATAGAAGGGGGTGTCATTCTGAACGTGGCAGAATCTGAAGAGAGGGAGCAGCATTCTATTGGTGCTTGGTATGATGTGGTCTAGAAGGGAAGAATAGATCTACTCTGAGGTACTAAGAGCTTTGGAGACAAGAGACAGAACAGCTGCATTAACCCTTGGGTGACTCAGGGTCTGCATACTAGGAATGCTTAACCCTTTGAGGAAGGCAGGGTCTTCTTGCTTTTTGACCTTTGCTCCCACTAAATGCATTTATTGATGAAGAGCTATCTGCTTGTTGCTTGAGACTTTGGGGTGTACTCTTTCTCCCTTTGAATTGCTCAAGTCTCTCTTTTGGAAGTTAGTTTCTTTTTCTTGAAGCAAGGCCAAGGATAGCTTGGGAGGATCAGGGACTTAAAAGCTAGAGTCCCAGAGTTGGAAGGAACCAGGGTTCTACTCCACTCTAGAAACCATGCTATGCTATCTTCAGGGGGTACTCAGAGAAACCAGACAAATCCAGTAGGTCCTAAACAAATACATACCTGGGGGAATTTGTGACACACATTAAAACAGATTTTTTTATAAAAGCACAACTAAAACAAAAGCACACAAAATCACACATCACTTTTCAACTAAAACATGACATACTAATTTTAAACTGGTAGAATTTTTTTTTTAAGTAAGAATCAAATGAAAATAAACATTTATAATGAAGTATCCATTACAACTTTAAACTGTAGTACTCATAATAATATGATCATTATAACACTGATTCATGCCAGAGAAAATTATGATAATGACTTAGTCTAGTCTGACTCACTGAATCAGAACGATCAAGGGAATTCTTTGGTTTCCCTAGCTGAAAAAAATACCTGCTAAAATCTGATTTTCAGACTTGCAATCTGTGAAGTGAGAAAGACTGATTTGCTCATCAGTAATGACTGAAATTTGATTTGAACTATGGCCACAAAAGTCGGAATGAAAAGAACATTTAAGGGGCAAAAGGCCTGTCTGAATTTAAGAGAAAAAAATTCTATAACTTAAATAAAAGTACAGAATAAAAATACAGAAAAATAAAAGACAAGTTATACATTTAATCATGCATTTCTTGCAGCTGACAATTTTCTTTTTTTGCGGGGGGGTGGGGTGGATGTTTTGTACCATCAATGTAGCTGCAGTAATCTGCCAATTCTAACAGGTATTTGCAACAAGCAGATGTCCCAGGGCTGATCTCAATCTAGGCCCACCCACTTGTTTCTGGGCTAGCCACCCACCTTTCTCACCTGCCATGCCTTGATATTTTGGTTATTAGATGTTAATCAGGCAGGAGGCTGCCCTTTACCTGCCCTGATGACAAGGGCCTCTGTACATGCTCCGATCTACCCTTGACATGCCCCATGCCTCACAGATGTTTCTTATCCTAACACCTGGCCTCATCATCATTATGGCCTAACACCAGGCCTCATCATAATATCTACATGTATTCAACTCCCAGCCCCATCCCTGGGCCTACTAACCCCATCCTGCAGCCCCAGGCCCTGTCCTCTGGCTCCAGGCCTCATCCCCAGGTCACAAGACTTTCCCAGCTCCAAGCCTCATCCTCAGGCTCCAAGCCCCATCCCTGGGCTACAGGCCTGCCATGTCTTCACACTCCTTACCTGGGCATCCCCCACTCTCTATATCTGTGGGCCACAGGCCCCCTCACTGGGCTGAAGCCCCTCACAATAGGACTAGGGCTCCAAGCCCCATCCCCCTTGGACCATAACACATGGCTCCATAATGCACCCAGGCTCTTCTATGAGACTGGCTGCTGCCACAGGTCTCTCCACTGACCTGGGCCCTGCTTCAATGCTCATAGTGAGTCTGGGCTCCTCAGTCCACATCTCAACCACTAGGGATGTGGGAGCTGGGGTTTTCAGGCACGCCTACCCACCTTTCACTAGGGAGGTAACTGGCCTGGCATTTCTGGGGAGCTACCCAGACATAGGTTATAGATTCATAGATGTTAGGGTCGGAAGGGACCTCAATAGATCATCGAGTCCGACCCCCTGCATAAGCAGTAAAGAGTGCTGGGTCTAGATGACCCCAGCTAGATACTCATCTAACCTCCTCTTGAAGACCCCCAGGGTAGGGGAGAGCACCACCTCTCTTGGGAGCCCATTCCAGACCTTGGCCACTCGAACTGTGAAGAAGTTCTTCCTAATGTTCAATCTAAATCTGCTCTCTGCTAGCTTGTGGCCATTATTTCTTGTAAACCCTGGGGGCGCCTTGGTGAATAAATCCTTACCAATTCCCTTCTGTGCCCCCGTGATGAACTTATAGGCAGCTTGTAACCCCCGGGGGCGCCTTGGTGAATAAATACTCACCAATTCCCTTCTGTGCCCCCGTGATGAACTTATAGGCAGGTTGTTCCACCAGGCCACCCTTCCCCAGCAGGGTGTAGAGTCAGGTCATGCCCAGGATCAAGGGGCCTCCTCCTTCCTCAAAGCCCCAACCTTTACCTCTGAAATGTTGCCTCCTCAGCTGGTAGCAGCAGACTGCTGCCTTGCAGTTCAGAAACCCAGTCCTTATATACTCCAGGTGGGCCCTGTTCCCCAGGCAACTCTGCTTGATTACCACCACAGGTAGCTGTGGGCTGCCTGATTGCTGCTCAGGCCCCTGATAGTAACAGAGCACAGAGTGCTCTGTTACAATATTAAAGAGAAGGGATATTCCATATCTATAATTCACTGTTAAGAACAATACTGGATGGAGACTATATTTTAAAGCTTGATAAATAAAGGTTCAACTGTAAAAGTCCTACTAAGGAAAATAAGAAATCGTATAAGGAAACTCCATGTAGCAAGATGAATTAATTTATGGAATTTCAGAAATATGAAGAACTTAAAAATAAAGTTTTTCAGTGATTTTTTTTTTAAACCAGCTTTTATTAAAAAAAATACTGCACTTATTCTGGTCCCAGCTATCACCCCTTCGCACAGGTTCAACAGTGCAAAAAGGGGTTTAAAACTTACTCAACAAATATATGTTTTACCCAATAGTTTTAAATTGCAGTTATCATTCAGCAACTCTCCCACCTCCTCCAGCCAAAACTACTACCATATCAGCAATAACTATTGATGGTACAAAACATTTAGCCAATTTCTCCTTACTACTAAAACATCTCTAAATTCCTCTTTATGACAAGGGGCTATAAGAAAAAAAACCTGCAACAGCTGTTGGTTCCTTCCTCACAAGCAGAATTCTCAGCTTCTGTTTCATAAGATTTTACAACCAGTTTTGTAACAAAAAACAAAAAATATTCTAGAGATAGGTCCAGGCATTTCTGGGAAACTGCATAGTCACAAGCATCACCAGGCTTTTTTTAAAGAGCTGTTCTATGATATAGCCATAATGCTTTAAGTAAACGGAGATGAGGTACACCCAACAAGAACATTCTTAATTGTCATCAGCCTTGAAAAACATGCTGATACTAAGCTTTAGATTTTGGTCTTTCTTGGAAATAGTACAAAGAATATATAGGGCCCAATGTTCCCTAAATCAATAATATTATAATAGTGTAACTACAAACAAAAAAAAAAAATCCTAGTGCAATTTTAAGTGTTGGCAAAGGAAATAAAATCACATTTTTTTTCAGAAGTGAGAATTTTTTGGGTGGTATCTTTTCCTAGACCAAGTATATAGCTGGAAGAGTTACTGGACAAACCTTCAGGCATCAAGTACCCTTCCTTAGGTCACTTGATGCTTGAAATCTTGTCCAATAGCTTTCCCAACAATACATTTGGTCCAATAAAAGATATCACTAAAATGCCTTGCCTCTTGTACTTTTTCTGGACCATCATGGCTGTCACAATATTCCAACATTACTTTTTCAGAAAAGTTCAAGCACCAAAAAAGAGCAGCACTCTCCCAGACTACATGATGAATACATTAAGAGGAATTATTCCATAATAAACAGTTGAATTGAATGGTCAGAATAAGTAGTTTGGTTCACAACTAAGAAACGGTTTTAAATGTTCATTTCCATTCCCACCAGAACTCCATGCAATGTTTGATTGGGGTTTTTTTTTTTTAATCAAATTAAAACTGTGACAGTTCTTCAGAATGTATATTATTTGTTTTCTATGGATACAAATATTTGTAAATTAGAAGGAGGTAATAAAGTTATGCATTATTAACTAAACATTCACCGCAAAGAGGATTCGTTGCTGTGAGTAATGGAAGAGAAGGGGGATTATTAATAATCATACAACTTTGTTACCATTAATAGTGTGAAAATAAAAGACAGATGGTAAGAAAGGGAAAGGAATTTGTGTTTAGAAATAGCCATATTTGACTTCAATACATGTTTAGTATAAAGAGAGTTCACCTACTGGATCATTAGGATTGTACTGGATGACATATTCTATCTGGCCATTAGGACCATCATCTATGTCAGTGGCACCATTGTTCCCAGAGAATCCTGTAAAGATGGTGGTTCCGACTGGTGTTAACTGCAACAACAGGAACAAGCATATTTCAAAAACACTTAGAAATTACAGAAAAATGTAGCACTGATATGATAAATTTAAATTGGTAACAGCACTAGTGCATAGATAAATCCACTATGCCCTCTCTCAATATCAAGAACCTAAAAAAGCAAGGTAAAAGGCAATTTTATGCAACTAATATTTACAGACTCTGGTCTAGTTCATATTATTTGTCCCTTTTAAGGAGAGACGTCAATACTCAATTTTAATCATCCAAGCTGTAATTTGTCAAAACTATATTGCCTTTGGTGAAATGCTCATGTTAAATGACTTAAAGGTTTGGAAATGATAACGTTAGTAAGTATAAAGAAGGTATAAAGAGAAAAATCAAAGAACACGTTTCCTTTTCAGGTTGAGGTACATTGATAAATTTGTTCAGAGGAACATTTAATATATATTTATTCAACAGTGCCTCCATGAAATTGTGAAGAGTAAAATATAATGCAAGATAAAGGCAATATATACACACTTAAAATCTTAATATTTCCAGATTTACCAGAATACATGTATAAAAGTAATACTCAGGCTAGTCAGATACTCAGAAATCCAACAGAGTTCTTGTTAGAATAGTACAAAATGAAAGAAAGTGCATCTCTATCTGGCTTTGGGCAACAGAATGCTGCTAAAATTTTGTTTTGATAATATGGGCTGTCCTAAACCTAGTGGAGATAAGCATTAAGCCTGTCCCCCAGGAATCAATACCAAAGCTCACATCAGTTTCAGTATGGGAAGGATTTTATCCTTCATATTCAGAGACTTTAAAACAGTCATTATGAAAGCAGAAAAATAAAGGACAGCCCCCTCCCCCACACCATTTGTGTTATATAAAATTATTAAAAGTAAGTAGTAAAAAAACAGTTTAAGAAATCAGCCGCCATAAAAGGAGGAGTTGTTGACCTCTTTTTTTGATTTAGTAAACAAGGGGCACATCTACACATGTACTTTATTGCTCAGCAGACGAATTTGCTGCACAGTAAAATGCCACCGACTATACATGCACGGCAATTAGGCCAGTGTAGATTAATTTACTGTACTGTCAGATAGCCCCATCAGACAAAAGTAAAATCTGATGGTGAAGTAAATTAATGGGCCTAAATGTACATGTAGATGGTGATGTGTAGATTAATTTACTCCACATCAAATTGCACTACAATTTATTTAGATGCGTTAATTGCAGGTGTAGACGTGCCCAGGTTGTACTTGGGTGGGTATCAAATGGGATCATGAGAACAAAGACTGTCTATCCAGCTGTGCCAAAACTGGTAATAAGGCCAATTTGCTCAGCCCTCCACATTATGCACACTTACTGTATGCATTAGCATATGCACACAGATGTAATTACACTGTTTCCATTTTAGAACACAGCCTCCTCCACAGTGCAGTATGCTTGAAAATGCCACAGCTAGGGATAGTTATCTTACCAGATAAACTTCACCACAATCTGCCATTCAGAATACAAAGCAACAGCATAACCTCTGCTCTTGCCCGTTAACTGTAATAGTAGCTGTTCTCACATTATACCAATGGATTTAACAACTTGATTTTCATATTAATGGAACTCAAAAGTCACACTTCTGTTTTTTGTTTAAGATTCCTATTTAGCTGTTACGTGACATGCAGCATAACATGCAACAGAACATCAGCTTCCTTGCTTTTCAGGCCTTCTATCCCTGTGTAGAGAGAGCAGAAAAGTTTTGCCCCACTGAATGTATACACAGTTAAATATTTTTTAAAATCCCTTAAAATTCTTATAATTGTGGAGTATGATGCCCCTGAATTGCTATATTCCATAGTAACTAAGAACTACCAGCTTTCATTGTGCTTTCATGTTTCTGTAGCTCATAGGCTGAGTGGTCCTTTCTGATTTTTAAAATTGTTTTTGCTCTTATTACTTAGGGAGGTAGTAGTTGACTTAGATTTCTCTAACCAATGTTTAAGAGCCAGGAACACTGAAGCTCTGGAATAAAATCCATTTGTTTGCAGAGTCTTGTTCAAGATGAACACTGTATACGGATCATTTTTCTTAATACCAAACTGCATTATCTATACTTAACACCACAACAACTATAAATATTTTTGCTACAAACTTGATTTGCTTGTCATTGGCATAGGCAATAAAAATACTATATGTTTTATAGATATTGTGAGTAAAGGGAGTTAACTTTCCTCACGTCCTATTAATTGCTTTCATAAGTCAGTCTCCATGGAGATAATTGCCTTATGATCTGTACACAAGACTCATTGCCTTAAATCTTTGGTGCAGCAGCAGCCATAAAAGAATTTAGAAAAACAATTATCTCAGAAAGCTGAATTGTGGCTGAAATAGTATGAAATCAGAGCTAAATACCATAAACCAAAGTTAGATATGTTACTGTTTAACTATTAAGGACAGCATTTTTCAGATTTATTTTCTTTAGGAGGAGTATTAAAAAAATAAAACAAATAAAAAATCTACTTCAAAAGCTGTGTGGTAAAATATAAATCTTTTAAGAATGCAATAGTTTTAACCACCGAAGCCAATTCTCATTTAATCTTATTATTGGAATGGGATTTGCATCAATACTTGCTGATTTGAGAAAGTTTACATGATGAAAGATACTTTCCCAACCACACTATGTCAGAATGGTAAAAACTAGAGATCTGTGAAAAAATACAGAAAAATGGGTCTGAAATGCATGGCGATGTGTATCCCAATTCAAACAAGCATGTAGAGACTTAAACACACTATATAATTGAGGGACTGCTAGTATAGAACTGAGTTAGGCCAACTATGATGGAGTAAGTAATTTCCTGGTTTCTATAAGGAAGATATCGTGTCAAATGAAATGGATCAGTTGGACTGGGAACAGCTGGTCTTGGCACAGCTGACCTGCTTCATTGGGCAAAACAGATGTCAGCTGTTGTCCCACAGGATCAGGCTCCTGCAAATTCCTGGAGTGACTGGGGCTGCAAGACAACACCCGTGGGGAACCCCTGAAGGGTTCCCTGCTAGAACAAGACTACCCAGGGAATCCCCAGGTGCTTTTCTGCAAATGTGAGAACCTGGGCAGTACTCCTGAAATTCACAGGCCAACCCTGAATGCCCCAAGGACTCTCAGGAACAGGTCCTGAAGCCCCAAGAGTGTCTATCCATGGACAAATTCATGCCACATGCTGTGGCCACAAGTTTTGGGCATTTCTGACAAGGCATGCATTTGCTTGGCCTTTGTTCTTGCCATATAATTTTTTATGGCTGCACAAAAGTGATGTCTGTTTCCAGCTTATGATAGCCACTTGCTCAGGATTTGGAATTGATTTAAAGAGCTGTACCTTTTTAGAAAAGGGGAGGAAAAAGATTACTTGCTGGGAAACAAAATACAGCTTTTCGTAGGCATCCTTTTTCTACTATCTGGTAGAACTATTGTGTTAAATCAGGGGAAAAAGCACAGATAAATAAATCAAAATTTACAAATAAAATCACATAAGAGAGAGGGAAGACTCAGAGTCAGATTAAATAAAATGTTTAGGCTCTATATCCATGTCCATCACTAGATTGCACTAGAATCTCTGCTTTATTTTTTTAAGTATTATTTTTGGCTAGAGACAGACATTCAAAAAGCCTGAGCCTGAATTAATTCAATCTTTGCAGGTTAGTCTAACCTGCCTAAATTGAACAGGTTTGCAACTTCACAGACATCCTTTCTGGGCTGAAGAAATGCTGACACATGCCTGCAGTGGCTCAGGTTAGAAGCCAGAGGGGGGCAGTGCTAGAGCAGCCCTCCTTTCCTTCCACAGTGCTGAGCTGAGGGGGGGCATGGTCAGACCCCGGCAGGACACACTGATTGGGGAGAGTGTAAACTCCCACCCTTCCTGCACTGTCCCAGGCTTTTCCCCACTTGCTGCTCAAGGGGGGGGGGGGGGGGGAGTGTTACCAGACCCCATCCCCAAGCTAGTACTCTAAGGCAAGGCAGGGTGGGGAGGGGGTGAAGTGCATATATCTGTTGATGATACTGAGCTTTTCAATCTCCCTCTCCCTCATTCTTCATAGTGTCTGCAAGCCTGACAGGCAAGGGAGCCAGCTGGAGGCTGATAACACAGTGTTTATCAGTCCATTAACAAAACAAAAATACTCTATCATTAATTCAAGCTCTTGTTAAACAGATTTTTTTCCAAGGAAAGAATGGAGGGACATTACTAGCTGATTAGCTCCACAAAACCCTAAGCGGACACTGTTCTGTCTTCTTGTCCCAGGTGTCTGCAAGCCTGACAGGCAAGGGAGCCAGCTGGAGGCTGATAACACAGTGTTTATCAGTCCATTAACAAAACAAAAATACTCTATCATTAATTCAAGCTCTTGTTAAACAGATTTTTTTCCAAGGAAAGAATGGAGGGACATTACTAGCTGATTAGCTCCACAAAACCCTAAGCGGACACTGTTCTGTCTTCTTGTCCCAGTGAAGCACACACACACACACGCACACACACCTCTCAGCATTAGCTAGCATACCACATGCCTTGGGTCTGTGGGGCTGGGCTCCATGCTGTTGAAGTGGGAGGGAAGGGGGGAATCCCCCCTTCTCCCCCCTGCTGTGCCTGCAGTCTCCATTGGAGCTCTGGCTAGGAAGCAGAGGGCCAGGGCCAGCCCTGTTCTCTGGAGCAGAGAGTACAGCCCAGGGCTGCAAAACATCTGGGATGCTGGGGAACTCTGGTTTAACTTAAACCAGGAAGGGGTCTGGAACACATTTTGCATAAACCAGTTTGACCCAAATCAGTTGTCAGATACTACATTCAACCAGGTTCATCTTTAACCAGTGTCAGCCATTTTGAAACTGGTTTATGTGCACTAAACATCTGTTCTGTTACAGGTTTAACCCAACTTCTGATCACTTAAGCTGTTTTTTTTTCATGTAATGTCTGTCCCTAGCCTTAGTCTTCAGTGGGCTTACTCATGGCCAGATTTAGGCATCTTTCAGTCCCTAAAGATT